ACTTAAGGATATGAAGTACATGTCAGTGGGATGAAAACTTTGACCTTGGAGTCCCTAATCTTACCTACGTTCGTCTGTAATTTTCTTCCAATATTTCAGTTAATAAAGTACGAAAATGATAATATAATTGTGAATCATTCTTTGTTGACCATAGTTATACATCATGTCAAGTTATATATATTATAATGGATATTGCCTATTGACTGAATTTCAAGAGTCTGACTGCTGACACAATGGTAATTTGCTCGCGAAAGTTTCAAACTACTTTTTTCTCACCATTCGAAATGAGAGAGAAGATTGGAGTTACTTAAAATGAAATGCAGTTTACGTTTTCACAAATAAGCTGACGACTTGATGCCCTTGTAGGCTATGAAACATTTATTGATTTCGTTTTAGTGGATTCAGGGAAACCATTCCTTCGACATTCTTTGCTTACCCTAGCCTGAAACTCTTCGGTCGATTTCAGATCGCCATATTTGCAGTCATTTTGTTTCGACAATAGATAACTTCAGTAACTAGAAAAAAGTAATATTAACCTTAGTACTCATTTCCGGTAAATTCGGATACCCTGAAGTGGATACTGACATCTCTTGTAAACATCCCAGTCGATACACTAAATATTTCTAGCACATTTTGTCTTCAAACTTAAACATTTACCTGTAATCGAAAATAGGACTGTCACTTCGAAAATCGTTGATTTCATGTGGGTAAAAAATATTATAAAGGGGAGAGCAATTTTCACTTGCAGTTTTTTCCATAACAAATGATATACTTTTGCATATAAATGCTAGTTTTGCACACTCAAGTCCTGTGCGTTTTTCATCCTCACAATTCATTTCCTTAATTACAGTATCGATTACAACTAAGGCGTCGGCAGATAAGGCAACGGGCCACGCCTTTAACAGTAGGATACCAAGAAGTCGTGTGTAGGTTTCAGTTCCAGGTTACTGCTGCTGCCAATAGGCTTCTCTTTGTCTGCGTCCCAACATGGTCACAGGGCAGCCAGTCTTCGTGCGCCTGTTTCGCCTTTGGGCCTCGGTCATGAGGCTTCTGGGAGGCTTGCCCTTCTCTTGGGGCAAAAGCGAGTGTGGAGCCATGTTCCCAGGGCTGATGCGACGGAGATATCTGCAAATCTGGTCCTTCTTCGTCCTCTTTGCATATGTCCTGTGCATCGTGGCTGCAGTTTTTCTTTATGAGGTACCAGAATATTCAAGAGTGATAAGTGGAACTAGGAATGCAGTGGTTGACATAATGAAGGCTATGGATTCAATAGCAGTATCCTCTGTATTGTTCCATCTCTGGTTGGGTCAAAACCACCTAGCCTCTCTTTTGACACACTTGGATAAGTGTTTACCCAGTCATACCATATGCAGCTGGAAATTATCCCGAGACAAGGGCTTCATATTCATCGCTCTTTTCTATATAACATTTTACGTCTCGTTCACGTATGTTGCCGCATTGTCCTTTAAAATTTCGTTTGTAGAAGCCTGGGAAATGGTATTATATGTAGCCAGAGTTATTTATTCTTTTTTGTTTCTCATCTTTGCCTCCATTCACACTTTTTCTATTTATTTGATTTGCGGTTTTCTTGAAGGCACAGTAAATGATGTACAAGAAATGTTAGTTCCAGAAATAAAGAGTTACAACACTACAAATGAAGACCCTCGTGTCAGTAGAGAATGTTTTGCAATAGCCTACACAGCCAATGGTCGTTCAAACGAGAAGAAAGCGACACAGGTCCAAAGAGCAAGTGAACATGTATGCAAAATCCACGAATGCCAGTTGCAGATGACCCAGTATTTCAGCTTTCCAGCCTTGGCACTTATGGCTTACTCTGTTGCCTTTTCCATCGCGGTTATGTACACTGCTGTTACAGAGATGATATTCAACTTCATACTCTGCCTGCACATCGCATACAGCTTCATCATTCCTGGTATATTCTGCTGTTCAGCCGAGAAGGTGCATAGAAAGGTTAGTACAGATTGTCTTCTGAAACAGAGAACATTTGAGAGGGTTAATGAGAAAGACGGTGAGTGATACATGAGATTGCAAGGTCAGTCACTGTAAAGAAATCAGTAGAAAGGAGTGGTGTAAGGCAGTTGAGCGAGTCAGTGGATTATAGTTTATATGTCACTGGGGAATGTATAGGAACACTGTTCAAAAAAATAGAGATGGCTGCTGGAAAAGTAGGAGAAGAATCTGGGGAGAGGAATGTTAGATGTTAGAGTTTAGAGGGTGTTACAGGAAAGTATCATAATGAGAAGGGAAAAGATGGAAGCAAATTAAGTAGAGCAGGGTTTAGTAAAATGGGAAAGGTTAAGGGGTAGAGCAATTGAGTGAATTGCATTGTATCTGTGACTGGAGAAGGAATAGGGACATTGTTCAAGGAAAACAGAAGTGACTGTTGGAGAAGTAGGGGAGAAGAATCCGGGGGATGAGAAAGGGGGACTGGGGAAGGCGGTAAAGTATTAGAATGTCTGGAGGGGAGGGGTCTGGAGAAGGACAATGTTGTGATAGAGGGGATTCATGTGAGTATTCAAGTGGGAGCGCTAGAGAGGGTGGGGTGTATTTATCGTAGCCTGAAATTCTTCAGTTGATTTCAGAACATATTTGCAGTCATTTTCCTTCGACGATGAACTATAGAGGATTTCAATAACTAAAAAATATAAGTATATTGAACCTTTTCAGTCATTTCAGGTAGATTCGGATACCCTGAAGTGGATATAGACATCTCTTGTAAACATCACAATTTATGCCTAAACCTGCTTTCACACCTAAGCATTTACCTGTAATCGAAAATAGGACTGTCACTGCTAAAATCCTGTATTTAATATGAGTAAAAAGTAATTTTAAGTGGAATGCAATTTTACATGGATCTTTTTCCATGAAAAATGTTATACTCATGCACATTTACAATCAGCTGTGTACTCAAGTCCTGTACCTTGTTCATCTCTACCGCTTTCAAATATAGGGTTCCGGCTGATAATATACGGGCGACGCCCTTATCAGCAGGGTACCAAATAAGTCGTGTGTAGTTTCAGTTCCAGGTTACTGCCAATAAGCTTCTTCTTAGATATGCCCCAACAATGTCACAGAGCAGCCAGTCTTCGTGCGCCTGTTTCGCCTTTGGGCCTCGGTCATGAGGCTTCTGGGAGGCTTGCCCTTCTCTTGGGGCAAAAGCGAGTGTGGAGCCATGTTCCCAGGGCTGATGCGACGGAGATATCTGCATGTCTGGTCCTTCTTCGTCCTCTTTGCATATGTCCTGTGCATCGTGACTGCAGTTTTTCTCTATGACATAAAGGATAACTCAATGCCTGTTCTTTCTTACTTTTGCCCATCTTTCTGTATATTTTCCCTCCTTTCTTCCTATAACTTTGGCTACCATTCCTTAGTCTTTTCTTCCTTATTTTGTTACAAGGTGTATCTGTGTACCTTCCTGTGAAGTCTACCCCTCTATGACATAAAGGAAAACTCAAGAGCAGTGTGTGCTACTTACATTGCAATGAAAGTTACAGAATCAGTGGCAGTGTCCTGGTGATGCACTTATGGTTGGGTCAAGCAGTTGGCCACTCTTTTCCCTAGCTCTTTTTTCACATATCTATACAATGGACAATATATATATATATATTCATTGTCTCTTCATTTTCCTTTGCCTATGTTCTTTCTTACTTTTTCCTATCTTTCTGTATATTTCCCTCCTTCCTACCATTCCTTAGTCTTTTCTTCCTTACTTTGTTACAAGGTGTATCTGTGTACCTTCCTGTGAAGTCTACCCCTCAGAGTTTCAAGAAGTTTGTTTGCCATAAATATAGCAGCTTGCCCTTTGTCAAACATTAACAGTTTAAAGTATTAGACTGTATTGCTCCCTTTCTATTGTGGAAGAAACTAGCATGACCTATCTTGTTATGGGAAGATAGGTCATGCCACCGAGTTCACCAATGTACCGTATCTATGTAGTTTCATGGGCAAAGTTACATGCGTTTTCCCCTTCTAGACAATGACTGTCAGAAGTGGGTTTGGTTGCCATGATCAAACAATAGTTATTATTAGACCCCCTTGGATATTCCAAGAACACTTTCCTGAAACACAAATTCCCTAGGAACTAGCTCATCTTTTTCTCAGGTCCATCTGCTGCCTCCCCTTCCACAACTCACCTGAACAATGCCTCCTCAGTTCCTCATCACCTGGAAGCTGCCTCCCTTCCTTGACTTGTAGACTGCCTGCTCTAGGGATTGCTAATCCACTAACTGGAATAGATGAAATGTGGTTGCTGTAAAAAGACAAAAGAAAGAAAGAATAAATCTGTATATATACATGTACACACATTTTAACCTTTAACCCTCGACCTCCTAGCAGATATCTATGCAATATACTCTTGCAAGGTACAAAAGTTTTAGATTAATATTATGCTAAAGGGTTGATATATCTGGGAATACCCTGTAATACAGGGTTGACATACTTGGGAATAACATGCAAATTATTCATTTAAATATTTATGTTATTTCCTTTACCCAGGATTGAAAATGAATTCACCTCTTCAAGAGTAGAGTCTAAAGAATAATTCAGTCATCTGAGTGCAGACATAACTCCTTCCTACGCCGTATTGCTAATGTCTACATCGAAATCTGTTTAAAATAAAATATATATCTATGAAAAGGGATCGTGACCTGAAATACCCTAAGCCGCACGTAAGTTTGGAACAGTGGAAGGTAAAGGGGTTGTGGAGGGGACCGTTTCCTCTTTGTGTGAACAACTGTACCCCTACGTCAGAGAAATACACGATATTCAGAAAAAAATGTGAACTACGTCCCACACTATAGATGAAAAGTACTTCTGAATATCCCCACCGGAGGAGATAGCCTCGACAACCCCTGCCTTCGGGGGAGAGGAGAGGAGGAGGAGGAGAGAGAGAGAGAGAGAGAGAGAGAGAGAGAGAGAGAGAGAGAGAGAGAGAGAGAGAGAGAGAGAGAGAGAGAGAGAGAGAGAGAGAAGGTCAGGAG